CCCACAGCAGTGTCCCTCTCTGTCCCTCTCTGTCCCCACAGCAGTGTCCTCTCTGTCCCTCTCTGTCTCACAGCACTGTCCCTCTCTGTCCCTCCCTGTCCCCACAGCAGTGTCCCTCTCTGTCCCTCTCAGCCCCTCTCTGTCCCAGAGCAGTGTCCCTCTGTCCCCACAGCAGTGTCCCTCTCTGTCCCACAGCAGTGTCCCTCTCAGTCCCTCTCTGTCCCTCTCTGTCCCCACAGCAGTGTCCCTCTGTCCCCACAGCAGTGTCTCTCTGTCCCCACAGCAGTGTCCCTCTCTGTCCCACAGCAGTGTCCCTCTGTCCCCACAGCAGTGTCCCTCTGTCCCCACAGCAGTGTCCCTCTCTGTCCCACAGCAGTGTCCCTCTGTCCCCACAGCAGTGTCCCTCTCTGTCCCCACAGCAGTGTCCCTCTGTCCCCACAGCAGTGTCCCTCTGTCCCCACAGCAGTGTCCCTCTCTGTCCCCACAGCAGTGTCCCTCTGTCCCCACAGCCCGCTCCCGGAGTGTGATGAGCGGGGACCCCGCGGGTGCTCGGCCGGGCTCCCCCAGCCCCCTGGAGCGGCCCCTCAAGCTGGGCTGGCTCAAGAAGCAGCGCTCCATCGTCAAGAACTGGCAGCACAGGTACTTTGTGCTCAAGGGACAGCAGCTCTACTACTACAAGGACGAGGACGAYCCCAAACCTCAGGTAGGGTGAGGGCTCTGCTGGTCCTGTTGCCCCTGCGCTGCGGAATTCAGGCTGAACGAGTTGGGGTTGTCCAGCTTGGAGAAGAGAAGCTTTGGAGTGATTTAATTGTGGCCTTCCAGTACCTGAAGGGAGCCTAAAAGAAAGATGGAGAGAATTTTTRCAAGGGCATGGAGTGCCAGGGCAAGGGGGAATGGCTTCCCAGAGCCAGAGGGAAGGGTGAGGTGGGATGTTGGGAGGAAATTCTTCCCTGTGAGGGTGGGGAGRCCCTGGCACAGGGTGCCCAGAGAAGCTGTGGCTGCCCCTGGATCTCTGGAAGTGTCCAAGGCCAGGCTGGACATCGGGGCTTGGAGCAGCCTGGGACAGTGGGAGGTGTCCCTGCCCATGGCTGGGGGTAGAATGAGAGATCTTTAAGATCTCTTCCAACACAAACCATTCTGGAACTCCATGATCCCATGAAATGGTTTGGGATAKGTCTGGAGTTGGGTGTTAAAGGAGTTTTCTGCCTCTGGACAGTAACAGAGATGAAAGCTCCTGATCAGGAACTTCATGGATGCACTTAAATGCCTCAGGTGCCTGCAAGCCCTGCTAGAGCTGGGTCCCTCAGTGCCCAAATACCCAGGAGCTGGGAAAACCCAGCCCAGGCACCCGTGAGGAAGCTGTTACTGCTTCCCAACAGAAACAAACTGGGGAGGAGAGCTCAGCTCTCTGTTCAGGACAGCGGGGCCAGCCATGGATGCATCAGGGGTGGGAAGTCTGAGAGAGCTTCTGTCCCTGCACTGGGTGGCAAAGGCACCTGACAGGGCAYTTTTGGGGAAAATCCACGGGTTTTCAGCACAGCCTGAGGGTGAGAATCAGCCAAAGCCAGAGCTGGGCAGGACTGAGGGCTGGACAGATGGCAGCAAAAGCAGCTGCTTCCTCAGGACTCCTGCCACAGGAAAGGCAGCTGCAAGGGAAGGAAATTCTCTTTCTCTGGCCAGTGCACTTGCCTGGAAGAAATCAGGTGGTKTTCMAATTTTTWAATTTATTTTAARTTTTCCCACCATTTTCTCCATRCTSTAACYTACTTTTAGAGTATCTACCACCTTTCCCTCCTCTGGAGAAATTCCAGGGCAAAGTCCCTTCTGCTGGAAAAGCTGTTCCCTGTACAAAGTGTTACCAGTAGCAAAACTACTCTCAAGACAGAAAACATTCCCAAGGGGGAGGTGATCAGTGGATCCTCAGGGTGAGTCCAGTGGGATSCAGATCCCAGTTCTGGCTTTGCCCTGTTCCAGGGTGATGGGGAGGAGCAGCCCCAAGCACTGGAAATGGGATGTGGGAACAGAAACTGCTGTAAAGAGCTTTTTCATGGCACTTCTGGCAGCCTTTGGCCTGACCTGCTGTACCATCCCAGGGCAGGTCCAGCCCTGTGGATCCAGCAGTGATCCTGGTGGAAGCAGCTGGGCTTTAGGAGCTCAGTGGCTTCCAGGAGGCTGAAATTGCTGAGAAATTTCCTTTCTGAGGTGCAGTCTCATTTCCTGCCCTGGGCGGCCTCCAGGGCTGAGTCACCCCGGCCCCTCCACCAGAAATGGCTGTTTCCCACTTTTATTTTTTAATTTCCCATCCCATTTATTCTTTTTTTTCTACTCCTCCTCCTCCTCTTGGGCTGGTTTTTGGGTTTAAATGATGCTGTGTTAAAGGAACGCTTTTTCTGCCCCAGTGCAGCAGCAATATGATGTTCTGGGGTTTTCCCAAGTTCATTCTCCTTTGTTTTCTCTTCTTCCACTCCCAAGAAGGACTAAAAGAACATGAGAAGGGAGGAAAAAAGTAGGAAAGAGCTAAAGTCCAGTTTTCTCACTTCATTGGAAAAAWTGGCATTTAAGAAGTGGCCCTTATTGTTTGAAAAGTCATTGTAGTATATCTATACAAATATATYTTTATAAAATATATCCCCTGCAAGGTGTTTGAGGGCAGGACTCTGACCCTCAGTGGCAGTGTGGCCTCACAGAGGTGGCATACAGGAGTTTGCTCTGCTCTGTCCTAGGGCTGCCTGTCACTCCAGGGAAGCACCATCAAGGAGGTGGCCACTAACCCAGAGGAAGGAGGGAAATTCATCTTTGAAATCATCCCAGGTGAGGATGCCTCACTCCTCCTCTTTGCACATTTTTGGCTGGACTGTGCACCCAAAATCATTTGGGCAAGTGGTTTCCCAGTCCTTGTGCTCCCACTTCTTCATGGGAATATTAATTTCTTGCTCTCACTGTCCTCACTCCAGGGCCCTGTGTCAGTGCCCATGTCCCATGGTGAGGAGCAGCTTTGCAGCTGCAGCAGTTTCTGTTCCTTTCTTGCAGATCTCCAGCAAGGGTGAAGTGTCAACAGCTCCTTTTCCCTTGCACCCAAAGGGACTTTAATGGGGATAGTGGGAGCTRAAAGCATTTAGCAAAGAAAACAAGAATGTGTCTGTTCTCCTGCAATCCTCTCCATCATGGTGCATTAATCTGTGTTTTTGCAGGGGTGGCTGGAGAGCAGAGCCGGGCAGGGCAGGACACGTGTGTGCTGATGGCCAGTTCCCAGGCAGAAATGGAGGAGTGGGTGAAATCCATCCGCAGGGTGCTGGGCTCGGCCTCAGGAGGTAAAGGGGAGCAGGGACAGCTCCTGGATGGGTGGTGTCACCCTGTCCTGGGGCCTGGAGCACTTTTGGGTGAGGATTTCAAGGCTGCACTTGGAAAAACGTGGCACTGTAAAACRGGGCTTTAAATTGTCCCTTGTAATGTCCATGGAAAGTGCTGTGGGAGCAGCCCCTGGTGCTGGGTCTGCTGCAAACACGGGCAGCCAAGCCTGGATGAACATTTCTGGGCTGGTTTCATCTTCTTTTGTCAACTTCCTCATGGACTTTCTGACCCTGAAAATGTTGCTCGTGAAAAAAACTCCCATTCAGAGATAAAGCCTTGAGAAATGCTGGTTTTCACCTGCCAATTTCATTGCTTTGCTTTTCCTCTGGCTTTTCTTGCTCAGCCCATCCTTTTTGCCCTCATTTGCTCTCCAGCCTGCCTGGGCCACATACTCACCCTCCTCACACCCAGGCACTCACTTCACTCCTTCCAACCCCTGGATCCTCTCTTCCAGCCCTGGATCCTCTCTTCCAACCCCTGGATCCTCTCTTCCAGCCCTGGATCCTC